AGAACTTAGAATGTACAGGTGCTGGTCTTTTACAGAACCTTTGGAAACTCCTTTTTATACTGTTGAAATTACTCTAGTTCTGAGGTAACGAGTCTGATGCTGTCGAAGTGGGTGTCGGTTTTTTTTTTTTTTTGGTTCAATTTGTTGAAAACTAACGAGTTATTCAAGGGGGCTTGTCTGACTGAGCAATCAGAATCCTGTAATAATTGAAAGAAGTCCCAAGACATCTTTATATAATCAGACTTGGATGCTACCATCCTTTATTAGATTTTTTATTCAAGATTGTATGATTTCTTTTAGGTACTTAACGGTATCCAAAATGTTTTTTTTTTCCCACTCTCTTACGCGTGTTAGGAGTAAGTAGAAGAGCCAAACATTAAAAACCTTTGGCAATCTAAATCGAACTGATCAAGCCATGGCCTGAACGTGAACGTGCGAAAGCAAGGAGAAAATTTGTGGTCGTATCAAACCTAACTTGCATATATAAATGTTACTGACTTGGTTGATGCTCATGTCAAGGCCCTGGTCGCCCATCTCCAACATGGGAAACTTGGCATCAATGTAGCCAGCAACTTGGAGATCATATGTGCTTACGTTTATAGTGATCATCCTTGTAACATCAGGGATGAAATTAATTGGACAGCCCAACATACAAACCTTCAAATTTGTTTATTACAGATTGCATGGAGATGGCAGAAGTACTAAGTTATCAATGGCTATGGTCCGAGTAATAAATTATGATAATTTTGGACAAATTAATTCATTATAGGAGTTTTTACAATTGAAAGACTAGTAGTGGAAGAAATTTACTACTAGTATATATTTAGTGTATTACGTGTATATTTATTGGAGGGATTAAGATAAAAGTACCTTTTAAATTCAGTATTAGGATATGACAAATTTATTTATTTGTCAAATACATGTTAAATAGAAACATTAAAAATATTTATATAGATTTTGTCAAATCCATATATAATTTTTACTAAATTACATTTTTATATAATTTTTGTTCCATGTTATCGGGTTTAAAATTTTAAAGTCTAAATTTTATCTAGTTTTACCATAATATATAGTTTCTACCCAAGCTCCTAGTGGTACAAATTAGGATGCTTGCTAAGTGAAAGTGACTGCACAATCAATACTTTATTATTATTTGTATACAAAGTAAAATTTTAGTTATCAAATAGCTATAAGATTACAACAGCAGGCTTCTAGTTTCCAAGTAGTATGTATAAAGGTAAAGAAGATGTACATGCAGCAGAAATATAAACTGTGAATGAGCCATAAATCCTAAAAAAGCCAATGCTTTCTTCTTGGTGCTCTGCTGGGAACATCTGTAAACATATATATATATATATATATATATATATATATCCAGTGAGGGATGGAGTTTATAATTAATATGACTGATGCCACAGAAACAATAGGGTAAAAGGTGAAGAAAAAGAAATGAAACTAGTAAAGTGGTTTCACCTCCACTTGCATACAATGAATTGTAATGTACTTCACTCCAGAAGCTTAGCCAAACTTCTGAAATACACAACAATGTTTACCGTCACTTAGAGATTTCAAAAACAAGTAAATTAAATGAAAAACAGGCAGCTCAGATAAAGATTTTCTTAAAAACCATTAGCATCAGCTGATAAAATAAGGGTCATATTGCCTGGTATGAATACTGGATCTGCTAGTTGGGACTTTATGATTGGAGAATGAGAAGATGTATGATTGGCAATATAGTACTAGTATATACCTTTTATGCAAAAACTTAACAAGGTTCCAAACAAATCCAAGTAACAATTGAATACAACAAATTATATTAATTGATATGGTTGATTGAGGAATAACTCACACACATGTCAAAAGGACACAGCAGAAAATCATCTCCAGCAGTTCCTATTATTGCTTGAAATTTATCCATTCCAACTTTTAAATTTGAGAAAATCTGTTGAGCATAAATTTTATGTGCTGCTTGGGCGAACGTTAAGCACTAATTCCTACACTTAATGGATACCGTAACCCCTGTGATCTTAAGTCCCTGGCTAATGCAACTATTTTAAAAGCACACTTCTATGCTCTTTGTTGAGTAATTGCCTGTTTCCTTAAGATTTGCTTGTGTTCAATGCCAATATTGATTCTGCCAAAAATTCCTGCAGTTCATTGCTAGTTTTTCTTGCATTGATTACTCAAGTCTTGGGAAGTAGTTGAAGCAAATTTCAAGCATCTAGCAACTGCTATAAACGAAGAAAAGATGTGTAAATATTTATGCTTGCCACAGTTCTTTGGATGGGGAATAACCTCCTAGTCTTCGGTGAAAGGGTATGGACAACATAGTTAGATAGTCAGGGGAGTGTAAACAACCAGATAGGGTTTCACTTGCATTTCTTTTGATGTGGTATTTGAATAAATTATAGGGTGGGCAACCAACACAATCAGATAATCATCATTTACAGATATTTAATTCAAAACCATTTTAAAATATTACTACCAAATGAATATTATTTTACTTCTACTAAGAGTAGGCTTGATTAAAAATAGAAGCAAGCAAGGCAAACCTTGGCTTTGCATAAGTTAATCATATCCTCTATGTACTATAACTATTGATGGTCATGTGAAAAGACAGTTTCTTATTATTAACCACTTCACGTAGGTAAGAAAGGTTATTACCAGTACTCAAAATAAAACTAATATAAGAGAAGAAAGCAAGCTGGATTTAAGTTAATAAGATATGAAATTTATATCAAGTAACAGAAAGGATAGCAACAAGAGAATTCAGGCAAGACAGAGAAATAACACCTACCTCTAGTAGGACTTGCTCTTTGGGCATGATCTCAATGTAGCAAGCGTCACGAAAAGAGGTGACAAGACAAATTTGGCTCCAAACTGCAGTTGATGACCACAAGTCATCGTTAAAAGCTGAAAACTCATAAAAACAGCTAATAGATAGAATAACCTTGTAGGTGTGCAACTAATTTTATCCTATCTCCATAAACCACTTGATGAACATGTTCGAAAAGATAGGGTAGAGAGAGAAATGGAGGATAAGCAGAGAAATAAGGAGAAACAAGGACGAATGGAGCACAAAAGCAAATCGGAAGGAAAAGGAAGAAAGAAAACTTTAGGGAGAGAAAATTCTAGGTTCAACATTCCAATAATTCCAAAGCTGCCTAAAACTACAAACCAAAGTATTTAGTATTTACAGTAAGCATAGTGATATACCCTTGTATAAAAATGAATTCCCAATATAACCTTAGGCACACAGAGCAGCACTAATACCAAAATTGATGTATAGTGGGTTTAGGGAAAGATGATACAGCAAGAGTAAAGGAGGCTAAATGGAAAATAAGGAGAATTGGGGGAAGAAATAGAAACAGGGGAGGAGAAAGAAGAATAAAGAAAGAAGAGAACCAAGGAAGAATAAAACAATATAGAAAGAGAAATTTCTAATGTTTAAATTATAATAATAAAAAAGCCCTTATATAAATATGAAACCCCAAACATAGCTTAATAATGAAAATGTGGCAGTCCATCACCATTTCTATCCAAGAAGCTATTGTACAACATAAGATCCAGGTCATTTACTCAAACAACTTTTAAAGGATCTTACAAAGGCCTTTTCTAATAGACAGCGAGTATGTTTGTTGATATCTGTACAAGACATTAACTGGTATGCAATGACAACAATGCTGAAACATGTGCTCATTAAAAGAATTTATCCGAAATAGTTATTCACAGAGTCATTTCTCTGACATGATTTATCAAACCAAAAAGGACTTTTAAGGCCATCATTTTGAATGTAAGTAGCAGAGAAAGTTTAACAGGTCCACAGAGGATATTAATGACATAAAAACTCTAGGAAACTGATTCAGTTTTAAGGATGGAAAAACTCTAATGCAGCTTAATATACTAATGTAACCTGTTTTTTATAAGTTCAATACAAGAGTAGAATCCGCAAGTTAAATGTGGTAGACAAGGCTTTCCCCTACAAAGGTTGCAGACAAAGTAGAGTTTAATGCCATGGCCTATGTCAGCTTGACTTTAGCTGCTTTTGGCCAGCATAACTCTTCAAATTTCAGACATAGTAGAAAATCTGAGCTATTTGTTGGGGTAAATGAACAGAGTGCATTATGACTAGCTCGTGAACAAGTTAAGTTAGATCTTGTTTATGTTCGTTTATGAAGCTTAACAAATGAATTCAAACAATATTTTTTGGTTCAATTAATAAATGAACAAAACTTAAACATAGGGAAGCTCGGCTCATTTACACTCATGAACATGCTTGATAAGCTGTCATGAACAAGTTTGCTAAAATCTCAATAAGAGCTTGTTTAGTCCTTTTCAAGTTACTACTTTTAAGCTTTAATATCTTCTAAGTTCAAAACACAACTTAATATTTACAACATTAGAAAGTATATATTACATATATTAAAATCATCCATAATTTTTATAAAAATTATTCTTGTAGATTAAATTTTGATAAACCCAAAATGACCACTAGTGATAAAAAATGAGACTTGAAAGAAGTTATTCTACCCACCATCTCACATCAAAAGAACAAGTGAGAATAAAGAGCCATGGTTTCTATAAAAAAATTAAAAAAAAAAAGTCACCTTTGTCCCACAAGTCAATCGGCAATAATGGTCTTCACATGCTGGGCCCACATAAAGTGAGCCAAACATTTGCTTTTTGAGGACTTAAAGACCAGTTAGTCTTTTTTTAACTTAAGCCACAAGCTTGTTAAGAGCTTGAGTCCAGCTCGAAACTTAGCTAAACTAAACAAGCAGAGTTCGAACAAGGTCTTTTAGTTCATGTAAAGCTCAGCTCGTGTTCTAGATCGATAAAACTTAGCCGAGCGGAGGCCGAACATAGAGATGCTCTGCTTTGCTCGTTTTGGGCCCTAGCTATTTATAATATGATACAAACAATAGACAAAAGCTTGGAAAAAATGCATTTCAAGGGGGCAATAATAACAAGTGATTCTAAGGAATCAAGAAGATGAAATTTCAACTTACTCGGTCAGCAGCTGCTTGAAGAGTGACATGATCTCCCCATTCCCCAGATCTAGTGGAACAAAAAATTTTGCACTAAATGAGTTAGCAATTACTCATTTGAGATCATTAAAAAATCTTTTCTATTCTTCAGGGAGAAAGTCAACAAGAATCAATATCTCACTTTTTCATCTTTTTCAGGTAGCCTTTGTACTTCATTGGGACATAACCTTCATACAACTTTTTGGAATGTTTTAGCTGAAAATTAAGAAATTAAAAAGAAAAATAAAAGAACAATAGAGAGTAAATATAACCATAAAAACGATATTTCTAATCTCACTTCACTTAGTGCTTATCTAGCTCACATTATAGTAAAGCTGAAATAAAAATATGACACTAGAATATCTGTATTAAGGTTCATACTACCTAAAAATAAAAAGAGGGGGGAGAGAGAGAGACACAAAATGATTAATGATCAGAGACCATAAGAAACTAAACTTGGAGGATGGCTACAAAATTGTCTGCAAGAGAAATTTGAGCACCTAAAAATGATTTTAACTCCAATATCCACATTCATGCAATATACTCCACCAAATATATAACTTTGGAAAATGCTAACTTTTTTAAAGCGTGATTACTAATTGCTTTAAATTCTTTTCAAAGAAATCATATAAAGTTTTTTCAAAAGTTATTTTGTGTCAAATTGAGAATTTAGACAGGCTTAAGTTTCTTGTCAGACAAATATTTATCCCATGAAGTTGCAAAAATGGGGACAGACATGTGTTTAATATGATAAATGTAAATACTATGTTGATACCTGCATTTAATTTTATAATATATCCTTTATAATTATGAAAATAAATGCATCTTGATAAAAGTTCAACATAAGAAATATTTGATTTGGAATTTTTTAATTAAAAAAGAAAAAAATTCTTTCCAATTTTAAAATTTTTAATTCAAAACTATAAAAGAAATTAATAAAAGAATCAAAAAGAAAGATGAAAATGACATAGCACTTTTTTAGACAGATGACATGTTTTTATTGGTTGTTTTTGGACATAAGACCCATTTGACTAACAGTGTTAGTCTCATTGGCAAACTCATAAAAAGAAGCATTGTTCAATTACCTAATTGTGCATTTTTAAACTTTAGGTACCAAATCAAACATTGGACTATAGTTTGGGTATATATATATATATATATTATATTATCAACAAACAATATATGCTCTTGTTCTCTCTAGGCATCATAAATGTGTAGGTACATATCTACACAAATACATGGAAATCTTTTATATTTTGAACTTGTATCGATGTGTATTACAATACAAGTTAGTAAAAGAAAACCTTATTCCCAAGATGGTGCTACAAATTGCACATATCAAAGTCAGACCTTTTGTTTTCTCATGTGTTCATGTTTGCCCATATATACAGAGACACAATAAATCTCACAAACAAAAGCAGGGAAAAAATGCTAAAAATAAAGATATGACCATCTCCTATTTCAATGAGGAGAAATAACAAGTCCAAGTATTTGTAAAGGAAAGGGTTCTTTTGTTCTTATCACTATAACTAATGTTTATCTAACAGAATTACATCCGAAAATAAGGTAAGAGATGTTTGCTTTTGTGAAGCAGCATCTTACCTGCTTGACAATCTGCCTCCTAACATGTTTGTGGTAGCCTGGATTGCGGAACAGCTGATCTGCTAATGCTCGAAACTATCAAAAAAGACATCATAATAGAAGATTTATCAAGAAAAACAGCAGATGCAGATAAAGAAAACAGAAATTATGCCAAGTTTCAATGACTTTCATATTGAAATATCATTGTTGCATATCTGTGCATCTGCCTATGGAAATATAAAGCATGATAAATGCGAGTATAAAAGGTGATGCTAGAGAAAGGACTAATCATAGTACAAAATGAAATACCTGGCAATTTCCATCACCCTCAATTTGCAATTCAGTTAAACCATAGGTGGCCAACCTGAAACCAAAAAAAAAAAAAATCATAACCAAATAAACACAAACCAATTTATATGGATAACTGAAATGTAGAGTATGAAAGGTCAGATGTCAAAGGCAAAATTTTCAACTATCATGCCAGGAAGTATCTTTATGTCATATTTTACCTGTAAGTAACCACAAAATTAGAAAATACAGACCCAATAAGGATGGCAATGTGGTTTTAAGAGCCATATTCCACACCAGATTATTAAAATCACTAGCTCAAAATATTTTTTTGAACATGATGCGAATTAAGAGGAACAAAATTCGAGAGACCTTCAGGCAAAATGGAAAGAAACCACAAAGTTTTTTTCAAAAGAAAAGGCAAATTAAACATCATAGCATGCAGTAACCACAGAATTAAAGACTAAAATGAAGTCCAAAGCAATTTTTTCTTTCTAAAAAAAGGCTAAATCGGAGCAGACTATAGGTAGTGAACAATTTAAAATAAAACAATCAACAAGAAATTGATATAGTGCATACGATAAGATCAAAACCTTTCAGACAGCCGTTCATGGTCTAAGGTTGCATCATTCACATCAGGTATTTCCCCATTGACACGAGGAGTAAGCTGTCAACAAAATGATAAGGTGAGTGATTAGACAGTTAATATAACAAAGACTATCCTGATTTCAGAAGAGAAAATAAGAAAACTTTACAACTTTTTCTAGCACGTGCTAGTCAATTAGTAAGTAATGAAGTTGAGGAGAAACATTGAATTAATCATAAAACATTGGAGCAAAAAGAGGCAGTATAGTTTCATGAAAACCATGTTAGATTGAATTTGCAATTTCCTACCATCAAGTGAGAGAGAGATAAAAGGGAAACATTAGGGCATGAACTTACTCTTTCGTAGACCCCCATATCTACGGTAAGAGGCATGAACAGACAGAAGGACAATATTACCCTTCCTAGTAATAATCCTATAATGCCTACAAATGCAAAGTGTGCTCTATGGTACAAATGTACATTTAATATAAAAAGCTACAAAAAGATCATACTGTCAGAGTGATGCTACACTTGTACTTTGAGTTTGCATAAAATTGCAACAGAAAAAAGTGCACAAAGAACATATTTTCACCAATTTAAAAGATCAATGATCTATATCACACTATGAGAAACACTGATTCACTCAACAGTGAATATGCAATAATAATGGAAAAGAAAACCTTAGAATGAAGGTACTGAATTGATAACAAGCAGAGAAAGAAATAGTGCTAGCATCTTACAAATAAATTATGAAAATAACATGATGTAAAATAATTTTTCTCTGGAAGCACCATGCTGTTAGCAATATATCCGGTTTTTCAACAATAATTGGCACATATTACAATAATTGTGGGAAAACACTTATTTATAGCTGGTTGTAATCTTGTAATCTGTATATTTATATTTGTATCTCTAGAATTAAGTATAAGTATGTGATGGATCTTCTGAAGGAAACTGGGAAGCTTGCATGTAAACCTGCAAATACCCCTATAGATCCTAATCATAAAATTGGAGAAGCTAATGAAGATGCTGCTGTAAATAGAAAGATGTACCAAAGATTAGTTGGAAGACTCATTTATCTCTCACATACTAGACCTGATATAGCATATGCTGTAAGTGTGGTAAGTCAATTTATGCATAGTCCTAAAGAAGTGCACCTACAGGCTGTCTACTGTATATTGCACTATTTGAAGGCCAATCCTGGGAGAGGTATCTTATTCAAAAGAAATTCGGGGTTAGTTCTAGAAACATATACAGATGTTGATTATGCAGGTTCAGTAACCGATAGAAGATCCACTTCAGGCTACTGCACTTTCTTAGGTGGTAATCTTGTGACTTGGAGGAGTAAAAAACAAAATGTGGTGGCAAGATCAAGTGCTGAAGCAGAGTTCAGAGCAATGGCTCAAGGAATTTGTGAACTACTATGGTTAAAGATTATCCTAGAAGAGTTGAAGATCAAGTGGGATGGACCAATGAGACTCTACTGTGATAACAAGTCTGCAATAAGCATTGCACACAATCCTGTGCAACATGACAGAACAAAACACATTGAAGTAGACCGGCATTTCATAAAGGAGAAACTAGATAGTGAGTTGATTTGTACACCTTATGTATTAACCAAGGGTCAACTTGCAGATGTGTTGACTAAAAGTCTCAGCAGTGCAATATTTCAAGAAATTATTTCCAAGCTGGGAATGGAAAACACCTATTCACCAGCTTGAGGGGGAGTGTGGGAAAACACTTATTTACAGCTGGTTGTAATCTTGTAATCTGTATATTTATATTTGTATCTCTAGAATTAAGTATTTGTATTCCTAGAATTAAGGAAGATTTAGTTTCCTAGTTTAACCCCTAGTTAGTTGTATATAAACCTAAGATTCTTGTATAATTCATAATAAGCAGTTTTTCAATATACATTTAGTTTCCACAATAATAATTCCCAAAGTTTCGAAAGGGTAGCATCTCACTCAGCAGTCAGCAGAACATAGTCCTCTTGGGACCAAAGAGAAGTCCAAAACTATTATGTTTATGCCATGAGGTACAATTTTAAAACAATGCAAAAATTTTCTTCAACAAGGTGAACAACCAATGAATAAGAGGTAGAGATGATTATACCGGAATGGAATCCAAATGAGAGAGTCTTTTTGCAAGCCGGCCATCGTTGTGCAAGTTTTCCTCTTCTGCTAAGATGTTTGCTACGGTTTGATCATCCTCTGTATCTTGGAGACTGCTATTCAAACTTGAGCTGGAGCTTGCACTTGCATTCCTGTAGCCTTCACTCATACTATCTCAATAACAACATGTAGTCAAGAAAACATGAGATTACAGGAATTCTATATATTAAGCCATCAAATATACTAATACAAAAAGGTTGATAACCATCCAAATTGGCAAACAGAATTCTAGACCAGACTGTTAAATTATCAATCTCTCATACTACAAGAATAAATTATTACTTATAACAATGTAATTTTACACAAGCTTAACAGAAAATCATCAAAATAAAGAAATCCCTAAAGAATGACTTCAAAATTCCAAGCAATCCAGATCCTACATGGGGTATGTTAGAAATATCGAATTTTACCTAAAAACCCAGAAATAAAAGACAAAATATGGCTCCTTTCATAGCTTTTCTTATATCCAACACAAGCATATTAAAGAGTAAAAAGGCTAGGATTGTTAACCTTAGCTGAACTGAATTAAGAGAAGTTTATACTAAACAGAAGCAGATGATTCAAATTAACAATGAATTTCCTTTAATTATAATTTTTCTTCCATTTTCTCACCAACCAATCAGAGCATAAGTTATCCCAATATGACAGAGGCAAGGATAAAAAACATAAATAGCCATAGCCACAAAAAACCAAAAAAAAAAATGGAAATAGAGAATACCCGGATTAAAAAACTGAAGAACTTTGAGAATTGAGAATTGGTTGATGTAGGATTGAATATTTTGTTAGATCTTCTTAGCTGAAGCCGAAAAGTTTTGTAATCATATCAAGTTTCTTTTACATAAAGATTTAATGGAAATCAAGAAAATGGAATGGTCAAAATAGTTGTAGGACGTGGACTATAGCATTAACAGCTTTACTTGGACATGTATAAGATGTGGGGAAACGAAGAAAATAGTTACGGTAATTAAATAAAAGATACAAAAATATAGTACTCAAAATTTTAACAAAAATTATAATTTTAATAAAAATTATAAATAAATTTAATGCAATTAAAAAAATATTTTTATATTTTTATTTAATTTTTATATTTTATATTATATAAATATATAAATTATCAAACTTTTTAAAAAATTTTGTGGAACTTTGGGTTTTTGGGATTTGGAGACACGAATTATCGAATTAAAAAAATATATATATCGAGGCTTTGGGTTTTCGAGGATTTGGAGACTGTCCAAACGTCATTCTGTCTTAATTCCAAACAAGAAACCAACACGCAATTGGCCGCACGGAGATTTCTTAATCTGAATGTTACAAAAATTTTCATTCATTTCCAGAAGAAGTAGTGAGTGACATCTGTTCAATATTCATTTTATTCTTTCAATCGAAAACAATTTCAGAATATGTCATTCGGGTTGATCCATTTGAAGAGTATCGATGGACTAATGATTTAAGCCCAACGTTTTTAAAATGGACTAAACCATCTATAAAAAATAGAAATGAACAATCGGTTCAAAATTTAAAAAGTACGAAAACCAATTTGACAGACCTCTTTTAAAAAAATCGAATCAACCAATTTTTAATAATTAAAAATAATCAAATCGAAGTAAAATTGATAGGTTCGAATGAAATTTTGAATTTTTTTTCTTATTCTTTTATTATTAATTTTGAATAATAATTTTACAACATTTTCGCTCAATAAAATTCATTATATGACTTTGTCACTAATTTTATATTTTTTATTTTAAAAAATACAAATAAAAAATATTTTTATATATTTATATTATATAATATATTTTAAAATTTATTAAAAACAAGTTAATTAATTCAATAAGTTCATTATTAATTTTAAAAATAAAAAATAGATCGAAATAATCCACTAAATCAATTTTTTTATCAACATTGTCGCAATTAAAAAGATTTGTCCAAATTCAATCGACTTAGATTTGAACCAACTTATGCTCATCCTTAAAAAATGATGTTATAAATTTTTTCTTTATTATTTGGACTAAATCCAATAATAAATTAAATATTTATTAACACTTATTTTATTTAATGTTTATTTTGTACATAAATTAAATTTATCAATTACTTTTATAAATGAAAAGGTAAGAACGAAAATTAAAAATAATAATTTATTAAATGATAAAAATTATTTAAGAAAATATTTTTTCATTAAAAGAATTTGACAACATAAAAAATAATATATATTTATACCATAAATAAAACATACATTAAGACATATGTTAGCCTTGAATTGATCCTTATTTTAAAATGACAAAACATTAAAGCTAAATAAACTTGATCAAAATTTTGAAAAAGATTTATTTAGTATATGTTCTTAAGTTTTATATTTTGATACTAAATAAATAATATGATTTTCAAAGTCTAAACAAATTTTTCTTTGTGTCATATTTCTCAAACCAAATCTTCCTTTAAAGATTATTTATTTGAGTTTAAATGAAAGTCCAATTGTTATTTTTAAAGTGAACTTATTCATTTTAGACTTAATACAATTTTAATAATATTGGTTTTGAGAATAGATTAACTTAAGGAAGTTATTTTACAAGAACAAAATTTTTCAACATTGAATTTGTTTTATTTTTCTGTATAAATTCACAAGGTTTTAATATTTAAAATTTATATGGTTGGAAAGCTTTTTGAGTCTACTTTCTAATGGATTAAACAAAATAAAAATTCAAATTTTTTAAGAAAAGATTTAGAATTTTTATTAGACACACTGTAATTGTCTAGAAAACTGCATAAAGGGTAAATTTGAAAATTCACTATAATTCGTACACAGTGAATTAGTTGATCACTTTATATGGATAGAAAGCTCTTTAAGTCTAGTTTCAAAATCTTCAAACGGTTTGTAATTTAAATTTGTATAACTCAAGTTATGGTCAAATTAGTTAGTAGAGTACAAAACAGGAAATAACCACCCAGTAGCTGACAGGATCGATCCCCTCATGGAAGGGATCGATTGGATCATGATTTTCAAATGCAAATTAGTTCAAAACATGAACCAATCAATCCCTTCATGGAAGGGGTCGATCGGTTCCGGGTGTGGGCACTCCAACGGCTATTTTTTCATCATTCCAACGAGCATTTCTTCACTCTAAGCTTCCCCAACGGCTACTTCTTCAATTTCTCTATAAATTAGGCACTCCAACACACCAAGAAGTTTGATGAATCAAAAGAACAAGAGCTAATAAGCCACATTTTCATTCTCTCAAAGAATCAAGAGTTTTTAGAGCTTCAAAGGCCATATTTTTGTATTTATTGTATCCAATTTTTATTTATTGTTCATTCATCATTTTCTTGTACTTAAACTTAGCAAACACTTAGCCTTAGAGATGTTGTTCTATTGTTTATAAAATTACCTTTGATATACAAGGGTGGAAGAGAACAAGAGGTGGGATATCCTCTTGAGAGCTTTGTAGTGAGATTGGACAAAATACTACAAAAGGTAGAGGTTTTTATCTTAAGCCTTAGAAAGAAAAAGATATGTTGTATTTTCAATTCAAGAATAATGGATTGAAGCCTTGGTGTGGACAACCAAAAAGAGAGGACGTAGGTGCCTTGTGAAGAAGGACCGAACCTCTATAAATCATTGTGTTTGATTTCTCTATCCCTATCTTGTTACAATTTATTGTTGTTTATATTTGATTTTAGATTCACTAATTGTTATTGTTTGCATTATATTTTCATCAAAAGTGCTTATTGTTTTAATTTTCATTCAACTATATTGAAATCATTGTTTGAGAAGAATTTAAAGAGATCCAATTCATCCTTTTTTTTTTATCACCATCTAACCTATAAAGCTAACAACATATAATAAAATATAAATATTTTTTAAAAAATGCATCTAAAAGAAAAAATGTTGGATATGTATTCTACCATTTGTCGCCTTATTTATTTTTTTTTTTGTTTTTTGTTTTTTATTTATAGTTAATAAATATTTTTTTCTAAGAATAAAGAAAAAGATTCAACTTTTTTCCTTTTTTTGTTTTTTTTATCTTTTTTTTAAAATTAGATCAATTAAAAAAAACGACGAATGTATACATGTGATTTCAACAACTCTTATTCAATTAGTTTAAATTTGTTTGAATCCAATAAGTGTGTTTTTATAAATTTGGGATCAAAACAAGATTTTTTTTTTTAAATTGTGGTCAAGTCAAATGTGAATTTATGATGTTTCATATCGTCCAGGTGTACATAGATATATTTTTTATTATTTATTTAATTTTATATTTATATATCATATTAATAAATTTATTATTTAATATCTTAATTTAATAAATGCATATGATATCTTCATTTGATTTTTTTGGCAACTTCTTTTGTTTTTTTAAGTTTATAACTTTTTTTAATTAGATAAATTTTGTAAGAAAAAATAGTAAATGTAGAGATGACAAAATAATCCATTTCCCATTGATTTCGATTTATCTCAATTCAATATGTATAGACTTTTATAAAATTCATAATCGTATCGAAGTTTTTTCTTTTTTAAAATTGAGATCAGGTTAAAGGCGAGTATAGAATGTTTCATCTTATTTTGAATATATATAAAAATTATATTTTAATTATTTATTAGTTTTATATTTATATATGTGTTTTATATTAATAATGTTATTATTTAATATCTTAATTTTAAAAAAATATTACATTTATACATAATTAAAATGTAATTCATCCATTCATCATTATATAAATTTTATTCATTTTGAATTTTGTTAACCCTCATTCGAGATGTCGACATGGTACCATATGTTTTTTTTTTCTTTTTTTTTGTTTTTAAAGCTTTTTTCGGCTTTTGATTTTTTTAGTTTTCAATTTAGATAAGTTTTATGAGAAAACTCAATAAAAGTGTTCATGTGATATCTCAATTTTATTTTTTTCCTTTCACCTTTGTTTTAATTAAATAAATTTTGCAACAAAATGAGTCAATAAATAAGGATAGCAAAATAATTCGTATCCAATAGGTTTTGACCCAACCAAACAAATAGTGGGTAGTTTTTTTCTCTTTTTTTCTTTTTTTACTTTTTCCATTTATTGTTTATTTTTTAAAACTAGATAAATTTTATAAGAAAATAATGTCAATGGAGGTAT